TGCGGTATTGGAGGAAAGTAACAGCAAAGACCAAAGAAAAAGAGCAACTGTCAGCTATGATGCAGAAACTGAGCATTCACCCGTCAAGTTCTGAAGAACTTTTTTCTGTGCATTGGACTGGCACTCTCTCCCATACATAGTCACTCCTCTCCATGGCTCGTATTTGGAGGTGCTCCAAATGGAGCTTTGTAGCATATTCTCAGTGATTTTTCCCTTTCTAATTTGTTTGATAAGATCCAAATCTCATTAGGCTGTCAGGAACATTTGGTCTTCTCCTAGCCATATATATTTTTTAACATATCGAGGCACTTGGGGGCAATCTGAGACCTCCTCTTTCTGCCCACACACTGACATTTCTCTTGCTGCTAAATTCATCCCGTGATGCCACAGACCTAGGAAGAAGCTACTCTACTCGCCTCCCATAAGGGATGGGGCTCAGGCAACATATCTTGTTTGGCATGAAAGTGAAAAGAGTACAATAAAATATTTCACTACCACGCTTGTATCACTGTTATATTGAGCCCAATTCTCAGAGCACAGCGTCTTAAAGAAAGAAGAAAAAATTTACATCTACTACCCCTGTTTTTTGTCGTCACTACTACCATCTAACAGCTGCCCAAGCACAGGTCTACACTGACTACATGATAAAGCCTGACACTTTAATTGTTCTATATTTTTAAATTATAAATTAAGGAGCTTCAAGTCTTAAGAATACACCCTTCGAGATACAAAGTCACCTGATGCACAACTATTAAAGGTTTCTCATTTTAAAAAATCCCCTAAGAAAAGTAACACCATGTCTTGAAAGTATTCTAAATATAATGACAGAACAGAATTTTTCCTGACAACAAGTCTTAATTCTGGCATAGAGAGAAAAAACTTGAAAGCAGGAATGACTAAAACAGGAGGAAAGGAGAACATCTAAGGTGGATAAGACAGAAAAAAGTCACAGAAAGGGGAGATGCAGTAGTAAAACCAAATCTTCACAGTTTTGACTAGACTGCTCCGATGCATCATTTTGAATGTGCCAACATCATATCTCTATGAGCAATAAAAACTGAAGTTATCATTGGTATCTTTCGAGTAACCAAGAAAAAGGAGCTAGGATCATTTCAGGATAGATGCGTTTCCACCTGTTTTCCTATAAAAACACACCCTCTTATGGAAGCTTTTAAAGTCAATATTGGCTAAGTTATTCACAGGGGCCAGAACCACATATTCCTTCCCAATACAGGGTCATGCAGCTGAATTTTAAGTGAGAAATCATTTCCTGATCCACTGTTCCCGCACACCCCATTTCAATCCACAGCCCTGAAGATCTACACTGTGTACATAAAGCAATTTAGAGACTTTTGTGGAAACAACCCTTTCAGTTTAAGGAAATGAAGTGAAGAGAAGGCTAAAATGCACCTCCCAGTAGCAATTTGTTGGAAAGGTGATGGAGCGGTGTCTCTTCTATAATTCACAGAACTCAGAGTGTATGCTTTTAGAGTAAGCATCCTACGAATTAAACTTCCTACTTGTGGTCACGTTATCGCGGTTTTATTAGAGGCAAATGCCTTTGAATCTGAGTGCTTTCAGGCATTTGCCTGAAGTAACTCACTCATCAGATTAAGGAAATGTGCATAATTCTCTCCAACCAAGAAAGACCTTCCCACTCTCTCAGGCGTTGGAAGACGGCTCTAAATAAGAGGTTCATTTATTTCCATACACCTGTGATTTTGTTCCTAAATGGTGTGAGTGGCTACTGAGTATGTTGTTCAAAATCAGTACCGCTCTTTTCCAAATTACTTAGCTCCCATTTCACTTACAGGTGAATCAACAGGCATTCTCCGATGTTTATGAATATTGCCGTCTATGAAACACTTGAAAAGACAGGTAATTATTTAGCTTGTTGGGTGGGAAAGGAGGAAAGGTACCTTCTTATTGTTTTCAAATTTAAACAAAGTATGTATCTAAAACACTTTATGAGACAATCCTAGGACGGTCATTTCTTTTCTATGCTCCTACATCACTCACACTTTCTTGGCTGCTGCTAAGTGAATCATAACCCATAGCATCTCACATGTCATATTTTGGTGTGTAAGCAATGTAGACAAACACATTTCTTATGACCCGCGTAAACACCTACAAACACCTGTTGACTTCAATTGTTCATAGTTCGACTTTAGCTAAACACTCAGCCAAAACTATCTGATGTTCACCATCAATTCCAGGTCTACACGAATATTAAATGAGGCAAGAATCTAACTTGTTAATAACTGATGAGGAGATTTTAGTCTCCCAATTTGCCCTTGGAAAACTTGGAAGAAAATTAGGCAAACATGGGAAGAAGGGGTCTCTCCCCATCACTGGCAATCACCATATGCAATGTATTAATTTCTCGCTGTTAATTTTTTTACTGTGATATGGATCTAAACAAAATGACTCTGCATTATCCTTGGGTTACTGGAAGAGTCTGAGTGCTTGAAATTAATTTCTTGGGTCTAAGGAGTTTGTCTAAATAAACAAGTATATATGTACATATATAACTTTTAACTTCCTCCTAGACTATATATATTTAACCTAGGAGAAGGTTAAGTTCCTCTTCAAAGAGCATCGCTTTTTGTCTCTTGGTTGGTTGGTTGGTTTTTTGAGGATGTGGGCGCACTCCCTGGACACATGCTACCCCTTCAAATCTGGCAAGCAGCAGCTCTGTACCTCGAGTCCTCCACAATGCATGCCTCTGCTTGGTGCTTGGCGGCCTTGGCCAGGTTCGGCAGGGCCAGCAGTCTCCAGAGAGCATCTTTGCATGCAGTCAACTCCCTGCTTTAGAGCACCTCCCATAGTTTTGGCCCATTAACCCCAGCACAACAGCTTGATGAATTAATGCTTATATAGGCACAGTTGGCAGCTTCTAATTAAATAATTATGGCTAAGCAGCTGCACAGAAGCCATTATGCACCCTAGAAAGCCAGCTGTCAGTTTTATTGGTCCTAAGACAGAGGAAGAGTGAACACTTAGCTCTGGATGGTGGGTACAAAGGGGAAGGATATCATATGCCATATATATGTTGTGCAATATGACGCTACTGTGTGGTTGTGCTAGCCTGTCCATGGAGTGATGGAGAGTAAACTGCTCCTCAGCAAGCTCTCAGCAATCCCACAAGGAAGGAAGCAATTACATGATCAGGAGAACAGAGCTTGTCCAGAACAACCAAAAGAGAACACAGTGTTAGACAGATGAGCAGATGAGTCTTTGACAAACACAGAAATGTCACTGGGCTAGTAGGCAAATACACTTCAGGTTCTGTGGCCCGTTTAAATGGACAAGTGCTTAGAAATCCAGTGTGGCCTTTTTGGAAGGTACGGCTGATACGTTTTCATTCATTTAATTGAAGCTTCTTAAGATGCTGTTTTCAAATGTTAGAAATTGGAGAACAAGGCAAATATCACAATCCTAGATTTGAACTCTCTCCAAGATCCATTTTTCCGAAAAGTTAGGAGAAGATATTTGTTCTACAAAATCACAGATAATGTCAGATTCCTTTACAGAAGTCTCAAAAGCTAGCCTTATCGCTCCACTGGGAAATTCACCAGAAGGGAGAGAGCAGTATCTGGCGACTAAGCTCCAGCATAGAGGCAGATATAGATTATAGATAAAGGCCACAGACAGAGTTATTGGACCAAATAATGCTTGTTATTACACATCAGTACGCTCCTGAACTGATAGCTGATTTCATTTTTCTCCACAGCTGTCCTTCTACACAATCCATGTGTCTTCACGTCTAGAAACCAAAGGTGTGATAACCGAGTGCAGAACATCTCAGTTTCCCAGGGCCCTCTTCAGCAAGTGCCCAGCACCATCTCCAAATGAATAAACACAACTATCGGCAAAAATCAGTCTAAGAAATCCATCGTAACTCTATGTTTAAAGAAATGTAGACATTTTAACCCCCCAAATTTCTGGATTTGCCTTAATAAGAATAGAGGAAATTAAATGTTAACACTGGAAACATATTTCTTATGGGACTCACTTCCCCAACTCCCAGGTCTGTTGAAAATCAGCAGTTAAATCCAGCAGTAAACTTTACAGACTGATTTATTGCTCCCCTTTCAGAGATCAATGGATTATAGTTCATTTAGAAAAATGCCATTTCCTAAGGCAAGGCAATCTGTACAGCAAGTCGTCATTTAAGCAAATGAACTGAGCTCCAAGAAACCCTTACTTAAAAAGCTTCAGGACAATTGTTTCCTTTCCTTTTTTCCCTCCGGTTTCCTTTGATGTCCGTAATTCTATCACCCCCACTGTCTGATGATGTTTGCACGTGATTGACAATTCTCCAGGATCTGGTTCGTTTTAGACGGATCTTATAGGAAGTTCAGCTTAATTAAGTCTGCAGTGCAGCTCAAGGCTCAGTACAAAATGCTAACGAATCACACAGCACATCTGTAAAGCCCATAAAGGCAAATTTCAGACTTGGGAGGGAGAGAAGGGGTCTTTCGTCAGTCTATACTGCCATCTAGCCAGGACGACGTCATTCGGTGCAACATCCATTTGTGTTTTCAAAGCCTCGAAGGAAAGCAAGTCTTCAGCAACCAGCTTAAGAGACCCCAAAGTTCAGCTAAAAGAACAGACAGCGGTACTTCACCCGCCGAGTCTACCAGCCTCCCGGGACCAACAGCCAGATGCTAACCTCCCAACTGATCTCAACAATTCAATATCCAGCAACCAGATATATATGTCTGTTTTCATTCCACATATTTCCTACACCAATATCATTTGCATTTGTGATTTTGGGGGCCTTTGAATATTCTAGGACTTCATTGGAAAAACGAATGAAAGTTGCCTTAGGTAAGACAGGAGAGCTGAATTACAACCTCAAATACTCTAGCTATACCTCAAGAGTTAAAAGAATCCCAAAATAGCATTCCTTAGACATTGGCTGAACATGCAGACCATATATATCTGTGAAGAGAATCGATACACACGAAAAAATAAAAAGAACCCTTTGTACTTACGGTAGAAGACGTATTCAGTGTAGCTTGACCAGATCTTGTCATCTGTGTATTGGTTAAGGAAAGATGCTGTCACGGAGGAGTTACAGGCCACCATGTGGAATCCACACTCTGATAACATATCAAAAGCCCTTTCCAGATGCTTGAATTTGAGATAAAATCTGGAGGTGTATCTTTCTGGGGCTCGGTCAGGGTCTCTGCTCTCATTCAAAGTTTCTCCAAAGACCTCCTTTGCCAAGGAAATCCTTCCACAAACCAAAATCCGGGGAACTCTCCGAAACTTGGCATCTGTCTGCCCCTCTCTGCCCATGGTGCAGGACCCCCTGTAACCCACAGTAATGAAACCCCACTTGCGATCGGCAGGGAGCAGTGAGGAAGGGGGGCAGATTCTCGTGTCGCTTCCTTGGGAGGCATCTTCGAAGTCACTATGGCAGAATTCATCCGGGCTTTGCTTGATTTCCTCGGGGGTCAGGAGTTTGACCAAGTCTGGGAGCTGGAAGTACTCAGCTTCCCTTTTCAGTCTTCCCCTTTCTGGAAAGTGATCAGGCAGGACCACCTGCCTGTCCCTGAGATAGTCCAGAATATAACGGAACAAGAATCCATCTCTGTCAATGAAAAACCTTCCCTTAGAGTCCTTGGCTAGATCATTAGCTGTGTCTCTCTTTGGGGAAAACATTTTCCACAGGAGGGAATGAGGGATGCTTATTAACGTGGAATGGCGAGTAAAATAAACTTGACCCCCCACATTCAGCTCCACGACCTCAGGGAAGGAGTTGGGAACTGCAGCCCCTTGTTCTCGAGGATAGTAACGACTACAGTTTCCACTCAGAGCCATTGTCCCTTTCTTCTTCTCCTCCTCCTATTTTGATCTGAAGGTGCAATCCAACGGAGTCACAGCCTTATATTTTGCATCAACTTGTAATGGAGGGAGAAGAATGCTAACTTGTTAAAAACGACCTCCTCTTAGGCTAGTTTTTTCCCCAAGAAAGCAGAATTTAGAAAAGTCCACAGGTGAGGTGATGCTGCAAAAGTAGTTTAAACCCTGACTGGTGGTGAGCTATTACTTCATGGAATATAATCCACTCATCTCCGTCCCATCTTCCCCAAGCTCGGGAGGCAAGGCAGGCCAGGGCTCCAGTCACTCAGAGGTCTGTCTGAAGGAAAAGAGAAAATTATTTCCTCAAACCCAGCATGAGTCAGAAAAAGAGAGACCGCTGGAGAGAGGAGGGAGGGAGAGAGGGAGGGAGGGACGACGGGAGGGAGAGAGGGAGGGAGGGATAGATTACTTTACATAAGCAGCCCTGGAACTACTGATTTCAGCCATTCTTCAACCAAATCTTAGCTTCTCTCAAGCTATTTTGTGTCTACACGTTTATCCATACACCTCTGTCTCCTGCAATTAGTATTAAAAACACTTCTGTTTGTATTTCCGCATTAAAAAGGAATATGCAATTTTCCACTTCTAAAAGGGGATCGCTTTTTTTTTTTTTCCAGCTGGACAAGAAAAGCAATAAACCTTGGAACTTACCTTAGTGGGTGCTGGAAACCCAGTTCTGGGGAAGAAATGCCCATTTGCAAAGCAGTCAGAATCCACAGCCACCCTGAGTCTGGAGCTTGTCAAATCCCAAAGAGGTAAAGGACAGAGGTATCAATGAAAAGTGCCAGAGATGTGCTCTTAGAAAATAATGTTATATATATATATGTAAATATTTATATAAATGTATATTTGTATGTATGTATGTATGTATGTATGTATTCACTCCCAATCTCAAGTTAAAACAAGTCACCAAAAAGTTAAACCGCGATGAGACGTGGCTGGGTTGAAGAAGCAAAACAGAGAAAAATATTCAACCAAAGCTTCTCCAGGAAAGAAAAAAAAAAATCAAACCTTTAGAAAGAATCCTTAAAGCAGAAGAGAGTTGCCAGAGGTACCGGGACTTAGAAGCTTTTCAGAGAGCCCAGAAGCTGAAAGAAGGACGGATGTGCCCCGCTGGGGTCCCAGGTAGCCACCCCACCTGCCGACAAGGGCAAACCGACTCCCATGTTCCCAGCCAGGTGGGAGCTGGGGGAGCTGGTGGCCGCAGCAGAGCGGAGATGCCAGCGGGGGGCTCGGGCTCCGGCTTCTGGGAGCTGGGTGGCTCCACAGTTCCCAGTGCAGTTCGGAGGCTGTTGTTTCAGCAGTGCAGGCAAGAAACCATCCAGGGAAATGACTATTACATCATCTTAAAGGAATATGGCTTGGAGAAAGCGGAGGCAGCTCCGAGTCACGTCCTCCTCGGTGACAGGTCGCCAAGACGGCACGGGGACGCCGCGCTCCGGCCGTGGGCACGCGACTCCCGGGCGCTCTGGGTTGGGGCGGGGACGCAGCGCCGCGCAGCCACTTCCCTCCCGGTCCTGTCCCGGAGCCCGGAGTTTCCGAGGGCCTTTGCTTTGCCTTTTCTTGTTTTTAGACCGCCGCCGCCGCCGCCGCCACCATCCCCCAGAACCGCCCCCCACCCCCAGCGGTGAGATAAACACGAGTGATTTTTCATTTGAAAAATCTACAAACAAACCCTTTGCACGTGCGCGGAATTTCTGCTGAAGGGCAAATTTGCTCTCTAAAGCTTCTTTTAAAAACAAGCACAGCGAATGACCCCAATGACCCCAACGTTTAAGCTACAAAGTGGCGCTTTTTGTTTAATCAAAGAGGATTAAACCATATTCTTTTAAATGCCCTCCTCGTTTTTTCCCTCCTTCCCCATCCCTCTGCTACCCCTGCTCCCCTAGCAAATAAATAAATGATAAATAAATAAATAAATACAGTCTCTCTGGAATTAATGATCGCTCTTTCAAAAGAATATATGAAGCACTGGTACCCTCAGAAAGCCCACGATTTACATCAGTAAGTCATTATCTTAGCTTACCTGTAAGAAATTGTTATTCCCTGCACCTTTTTCTGGGGCTGGTTCCGCACTGAGCATCTCTTTGGACCTGCCCCTGCCCCCTCTGCACTCATCCCAAGAGGACTCTGGTGGAAGGCACGCCTGCTAAGAGACATTTTACTCCTGTCCCAGAGGGCTCCCTTAAGTGCATCATTAGAGTTTCAGGAAGGCATTTCCAGGGCAACATAATCCACTAACAAAGTGCTTCCAGTTGATCCTGCCAGTCAATAACGGCCCAGCTAACAGCTTACAGTAAGTCGGCCATTTCCCCTTTAAAACGCCAGTGTCTTAGGACTCACATTCCTAATAAGAATATAGTACTTCATCCATGAATAATACATGTGAGGTGCACTCCATTCCAAACAATTGCTGTTAAAAAAGAAAAAAAGGGAAACCAAAAATGGAGAGGAGAGTGTGAATTAGGTATGTATAATGGGATAGATATGTTGATTGCCAAACTCTTGCCCCAAGAATTAGCTAGAACATAGACTCAACAGCAGGATAAATTAATTTCTAATTTAACAATCTTTTCTTCCAATAAGTAAAGGGTTACTGGACACATTCAGAGTGTTAGCTAACACTCCGACACCTGATTATATTTGACTTTGTTTCTTTAACTAATGTATTAACCTGATCTGGCCTCAATCATTGGGATTTTACTTGGGCTCCATCAAGGAAACGTTTATCATTTGATGCACTTATATCGCCATCTAGTGTCCCTAAACTATCAGTGCAGATCTGTATTTGGCAATTTACCTGAGCCAAATGTTAGCTTTTTTCTTTATTTTCAAGTTTTTATAATGGTTTGAGCATTACCAGGCAAGCACTGTTCACCATAATGACAAAATAAACATTTAGTTGCCACCAGGTCAAGGGAAAAAATGTCTGAATCTGTGACTAGTAAGTACTGGGTTTGGTTGTAGTTAAAAGTAAGTAAATATTTTATTTCTAGCAGAGTAGGCCAGTACATCATAACAATAGCTCTGGAGATGATTGGGTATTAAAGTATCCTGGGGACAGTTCACAGGAAGTGGAAAATAGCAATAAGAAAGTCTTTTAAATCTAGAAGGAACTTGAGAAATGGAAATCACCATCCCATCTTAGAGATACAGAAACTGAGGACCAGAGAGGGAAAGCACTTCCACAGGGTCGCACAGCTATGGAGTAACAAGGCAAAGTTTAGACCACTGCCTATTCAGTATGATTAATGTCTTGTTTTTAAGCTTATGTGTTCTAGAACAGGGATGGAGAGGAGGTAAATAAAGAAAACAAGAAGAATTTCAAGATTACTACACATTTGAAAAAAACAGCAAGTTGTTTTGAAGAGTTTTTAATATTAAGTTAAATTTCAAGGCTGAAAGATCTTACAATTTAAAAGAAGAGTATTCTGAATTTCAAAAATGAGGAGCTCTAGGGGCTGGCCCCGTGGCATAGTGGTTAAGTTCGCATGCTCTACTTTGGCTGCCCTGGGTTCACAGGTTCGGATCCTGGGTGCAGACTTACACACGACTTCCTGAGTCATGCTGTGGCAGTGTCCTCCATACAACATAGCGCAAGATGGGCACAGATGTTAGCTCAGTGACAATCTTCCTCACCAAAAAAAAGCAGAGAGAGAGAGAGAGAGAGATCTATTCATTGGTGTGAGTTTGCTAGGGTAGGCTATTTTTGAGACAAATAGTTCTTAACATGTTTTTTGGAGAATCTTATGAAATGTAGGAAGTAAACACACAAAAATAAAAGTTTGCAGTCAATGTTAGGGACAGGACAGAGCCTCTCAGAAAGGGCTGAGTAAAGAGAGGACCCAGGGAGGCTACGTGACCGTGGATTCACATTCCCAGCAATCCTCACGTTATGACCGTCAACTTTCTTTTTGAAATGAGATTACACATACACTCGCAGAGACACACTCTGAGGATTGAAAAAAGAAAAAATAATTCATCAGACAACTTAGCCTTGGGATCCATGATCGGACCACACCACGTGAAGTGCACTCTGAATTTGTATTTTTTAATGAATCCGGTAAATATCCTGGGCTTTGCACAGTCGTATTGCTTTATATTGTTTTATACTAAAAATGTTCATTTATTATTGTAAAGAGCTAAATATAACTGTTTTGCTAGGCTTTTTAAGGCATATTTACATTTTAATCTTCCTGGAGCCTCAAGAAATCGAAAGGTCTGGGCCTCTCTCTGACCTTTAGAGAGGCCAGGGGTTTGGTTCAAGATTGGCCCAAAGCCTATTCATGTTGGGGTTCTTTGATCCCAGTTAACGTCCTCTGATCCATACACTTTCCTCTTCCTTTAGTCTCAGGGTTGCAAAAGAGATAATAGGCTTGAAGGAAACCAAGCACTACACCATACACAGAGATTTAAATAGTGCTGGAGTAAGCGAGTATGTCTCAGGGAGGTTGTCAGTAAGCCCGGCCGTTCGGTGCCTGAACAAGAGGCAAGCCGCCAAGTCTAGGCTCTAAGTGTATTCCTGTCCGTGTCAGCAGATAACACTGCTGGCGTTATTACTCTCTCCTGGCAGCTGTCCCCTGAAACATTGTGGGAGGCTGAACGTACAGCAACAGTTTCTCTTAAGGGAAGAGCAAGGAAGAATGTTCCATTCTGTTCTTTGTAATATTCAAGCCCATGGCACATCAAGACACACCATGGGTAAATTTTGGAATGGATAAAATGTGTCTTAGCTTCTGTTTCCTGTTCCCTACTTTCACCCACCCTCATAGCTGAATGTTGAAGAGTGCATTCTCAAAAGGACAATTTTAATTTTGGAATAATGTGATCACTTCCCACATCCTCACCCCCTAGCACGTCCTTAAGCTTCCTCTCCCTTCAGGCAGAGATCACTTTGATGCTGAGTGTTATGGGGAGGGAATTGGTCTCAGAAGCTTACTCATACTAAGATGCTCTGCACTCATAGTGCTTAATGCCCCAAGGACTGGTGCATTATCATCATCATCCTAATAGCTACTGTGGATGGAGGGCGAGGAAGCAAGTTCTCACAACAGTCATTACTCCTCTTCCTGCTCTGCCTGACTAGCTGTGTGACATCAGATAGGAGACTCAATGTCTCTGAGCCAGGGTAAAATGGAGATAATAAGAAGGCCCGCCTCTGAGGTGTGCTGTGCAGATTAAATACTATGATGCATGTAAGACCCCCAGCACATCCCCTGACTCTAGGGAGTGCTTAATAAACACCAGTAGAATTCGTGATCGTGGTGGAAGCAGCTGTATTTGTTGTTGTTAGACTCAAGTTGAGGCATAAAGAAGTTATAGAAGATGCTCAAAGGTTGAGATGCAGTTCTACTTCCAAAATCTTTGCTCTTCCCACCATGCTGTTTCAGGTAAAGATCATTGCTTGTTATAAATGTATTCATTATTAATGGGTGGATTTCAGGCGTTGGTGGGGGAGATGGGGTGGCAAAATGGAGAACTGAGAATAATCAGCATCACACTGGTCAAAAATGAAAAGGCTACTCTCCTCAGTCAGACAAGGTTCATTCCCGGTACGCTCTCATTCAGTCCACTCGGATTTATTGCATATGTATGTTGTATCCAGCACAGCGCTGGGTACTTCAGATACAAAGCTGAATTCGATACAATTCTGAACTCAAACACTCACATACAACATACACTCATACTCAAAATCATACCAATAGAAGACAAAGATTAGAAAGTTCCAGATTCTTGAGTACTGCCTCTTATTTGCAGAAAGACGCCGGCTGCCATATGCAGCTTTTAGTCCTACATAGTTCACACCTGATTTGGACAAACCACTTAACTTCAGTGGCCTCTGCTTCCATATCTGTAAAATGAAGCTGTCTCCCCTTATAGAGATTCTGTGACTGATCACAAACGAAAGATAAAATACAGCTGCCCAATCTTCAGAGACATACTAGGAAGTAAATTTGCTATGTAAGAAACAGAGGAAGAAGG